GTTTTTTATTCCATAATGTTCAAGTTAAAATGTTCAAGTTTAATACTTATACAATCTGTTAAAGAATACTCTTTTGAGAAGCTTAGAAAAGGTAGGGAATAACAAAATAGGTCTATAGTTATTTATTCGATACGATTCACCTGTTTTAAATATTGGTACTACTTTAACTACTTTTAACTTGTCCGGTACAACTCCTGTTTTAATCGAAGACTTAAAAATTTCAAATATAGGTTTTTTTCTCGTTGTAAAGACATTTGCCAATACCTAAAACAGATATCATCTATACCTGGAGTTTTATTTAATTTTAAGGGATTTAGAGCAACATTAAGTTCTTGGTAGTTTAGTTCTTTGCATTTTAGTTCGCTCTGGGTATCACTTAGGTATGATTTAAATGAGTTATAAGGAGACTTAATTTTTGAGGCAAGATTAGGGCCAATGTTAACAAAAAATTTGTTGAATTTTTCAGCAATCGTATTTTTGTCGCTGAACTTTATATTGTCTATGACTATTTGAGCAGGAAAACTATTTTATTTAACTTTTTTGTTCCCAATTATTTCTTTTATAATATTTCATGTTTTTTTTAATGTCACCAGTTGTATTTTTTATTTGGTTCGAGTAGTAATTTTTCTTCGATCTTTTTTTTTTTTTTTTTCGAATAAATTTTTGTATTGTTTGTAAGTATAAAGTTTCTTTTCATTTCTATTTTTTAAATACTTTATGTAAAGTTTTTTTTTTTTTTTTTGAAGATTTTTTATACCTCAGTAATCCATGGACATTGTAAGTATTTTACTTTTAATTCTTGTTCTATTATAGGGAAGTGATAATCATAGTGCTTTAAGAATATTTCTATAAATTCATTATAAGCGGAGTTGGTATGACCAAGGTTGCATTCTTGGTAAATCATATTCAACCTCGCTGCCGATAGTGAGTCTTAAAACTGTTGAGTAGTAAGATTATATATTTTATAGACTTTGATTTTAGAGTTATTATTTTTTGTATCTTGAAAAAAGAAAAAGTATATTGGAAAGCGATTAGATATATCCGTATTTTAGTTTTAATATTTAGTTACCAAAGTATTAAATAAGTTACATTTATGTTTTGAAATATTCAACTCTTTTAGTATTTAGTTAAAATATCTAAGCGAGAAAATATCACCGAAGAGAACTCAGATTATTGAAATAAAAAAAGCCTTTCTTCGATAAATTTTTTTTTTAATATTTAGTTACCTGTTCCTTTTTGTACGAAAAGTCTGTAGCTTTAGCGAAATGTAAAAAATGTGCAAGATTCTGTAAAAAATAGTTGTTATTTAAACATTAATGTTCATTCTAGAAACAGATTTTAGATTTTGGGTGATTGTACTTGTAGAAAAGAGAAAGATATGCAACTTTACAGCCACATGGGAAAGAGGCTCAAGTTTGTCAGATAGGCCGGGTCCAACTACATTTACAATGCGTTTTTAGACCTTGTCGAGAAGAGAAAGAGCATCATTAGAAAAACCAGACCAAAAATGACAACAGTATTCCATACGGGGACGAATAAGAGATTTGTAAAGGTAGAGAATGGAATCAGGGGAGAGAAAATGATGAGCACGATAAAGAAAAGACGGATTAGATATAGACGGATTAAGGATATTTCAGAGCTCACCAAATTCAAATGAACTTGCAAATAATTTGGCTCTGTTGATAAGCAAAAGTTGTAAAGCTGTTCAGATGATCACCGACAAAAATGATATTCTTCAAGTTTATGTAAAAACTAAACATGGTAAAGAACTGTCATTAATGTTAAATAATAAGACCAGATAAAACAGCTTACTTTTTATGCTAGAGCGTTTTTATAAATTAAAAAATTCCATTTAAAAAAACCTGATTGACTTAAATTCAACTATTAACTTTACGGAATCTGAATAAGAATTGATATTATCAATAGTATCTATGTTGGTACCCGAGAAATTAGCTGTAGAGGCTTTATGTCAGAGATCTATTCTTTATCAGCAAATACTATCTTGGCATTTATGCTGCAAATTATGGGCGTAGGACCATAAAGCAACAATATGAACCTCCTTAATTAAAAGAAAAGAAAAATTCACAATTTTATCTTATCTCATTCAATATCTTCATAAAGGAGATTAAGTGCAAAATAATTTTGGTTTAGATATCATATTGTGCGAAGATACAATAATGTGCAAAGATGAACCTTTTAGTTTGACGTTATAGGGGTAGCTGGACATGGCCAAAAATAATGAGACGAAAATGAAAACTGTACCAAAAACAAATTGAAATAATAACAACTTGACTACACGTGGTACCACGTGTAGTCAAGTTGTTATTATTTCATCCTCAAATATAGACGTGTACCGTCTTCCTCAAATATTTTATATTTTATTTTATTTTTTTTTATATATTATTTATTTATTTTGCCGTTGATAAATATTACAAAAAAGAAATTACAATAAAAGAAAATCCTGGCCAGAGCAAGAAGAAGACAGGTTATATATAATATATAAGTTGATTTAGGTGCCCCAAGAAGTCCTTACGGTCTTATCACAGAGCACCGCGGAAAAGCATTTAATAGGAAGTTCACGCCTCTTTCCCAACCGATGTCGCAAAGCTTGCTCAGAGGTGGGGTTTGAACCAGGGATCTTGCGTTTATGAGGCAAGTGCGCTACCACTGCGCCACGGCTGCTTGGAAAAAAATTTCTTCTAATCTTTAGTAAAACGGCTATTATCTTATCACCGAGCCCCGTCACACAATTTCTTCTAATCTTTAGTAAAAATTTAAAAAATAAAAAATTTCTTCTAATCTTTAGTAAAACGGCTGTTATCTTATCACCGAGCCCCGTCACACAAAAATATACATGCACAATAAATGATAGAAGATAAAAAGGCAGTATAAATACAAAAACAAAAACAAATCAAAAACTTCAGCAATAAAATAATTTGTTGCTAACAATCTTCCAGCAGAATAATTTTAAATAAAATAAAAAAGTAAAAACGACAGAAAATCATGAAAGTTATAAAAACACAAAAAAAAAGGCGTTGTTTAATTAAAAAAAAAGCAATATATGTAAGCAATATATGTAAACATAAGTATTTGGGCTGATTATTTATTATCATCAAAAATAGTTATCTTTTATACTAATGGTTTGAAACCATTTTAATAAAAGCCAAAGAAAGTGATAAAGATTTAATTTATTTTTAAGTGATTTAGTTTAAACCTTTAAATTGTTTTCAAAATTTGAAATCTAATATATCGAATTCCATGTTCAGTAAATGCCGTTTTGAATCATCCTTAAAACTTTGCAAAGTGCAGTCTAAAACGAGGTTTTGTTTTTTACTAAAGATTAGAAGAAATTTTTTTCCAAACTAAATAACATTACTTGATGAATATTAAGTTTATAAATATTTAAAGCTCCAAGCTGACGTAAGAGAGGTTCGTATTGTGTTTTTCTATTTGCCCCAAATACTATCCTGCAAGCATGTTTTTGTTTACTATACATTTTTTAGTGTGATTAGTGCTACCCCAGGAAATGTTACAGTATGAAAGATAGCTGTGTATAAACAAAAAAGAGTTTAATGTGATTAGTGCTACCCCAGGAAATGTTACAGTATGAAAGATAGCTGTGTATAAACAAAAAATATAAATTTTTTAAAGACTCGTTATTAAGAAAAGGTTTTGTTCGGTATAACACGGTATAACAAATCGTATACCAACGTGTACGATTATATTTTAACTATTCCCCCAACGGGCGTAGAAGCTTTCTCTTCATCGGGAATGTTATGTATGAAAATTTGATCATCTTTAAATGACTAAACTTAAATAAATTGTTTTTTTGCCTATTTCTATAGTAAATTATTTTTTTTTATGTTTTTTGAATTAATTGTATATATTATTATAACTTAGAGAATAAAGTTTTTGAACCGTTTATTTGTTGCTTTGGGTTTTAATGTTTTTTTTTTTAGTATTTGTAAATATCGGTATATCGATTTTCACTAAATCTCATGCCGAAAAACCGGTATTTAATTTTTGGTCCGGTATTGGAACCCCTAATATACATACTTTGTTTTTTACAATATAGTAAAAACTAAAGTACACAAGTATCTCTATATTTATTGTTTTAAATGCATTTTGGGCAAACTTTAATGTTCTGATTTTGCAACTTCCCCATGGATACCCACTTTTTTTGAAATCACTGTTATAAATAAGTCTATCAAATCAGTAAAAAAAAATTTTCATTAAAATCAGTGTTGATTCTAGGTTGCCGGTGATTTGAAGTGCACAATTTCTTTTAGGTAGAGCCCTTTTTAGGAACCAATAATTTTTGACTGAATTATACCTATTTATTTATTTATAATTATCCGTGAATTTCTAAAAATTTGGAAGCCTACCCTTTATAGAAACTAAAAAAATGTCTTTTCACTTCTTAAATTGCAGATATTGTATACTGACCAATCAAAAATCAACCTTCTAAATTTACAAATATTATTTAGGTTTTTTAGGTAGCCATTATGGATAAAATGTGATTCAAAAATTCTAAATCTAGAGTTGTATACAATAAAAAATGGAAAAAACATGTTTTCGCTACTAAAATTTATAATTTTAAAAAAATCAAAAATTTCAAATAACCATATCTCATGAACCGCAAAAGATTTTATGCTAAAATTTTTAGGAATTGCTTTTCCTAATTAAATAAACCAACCCGAAAATGTTATTTTAAAACATGAGGTGGTCCATGTTTTGTAGTGACCTAAAACCACTTCTGTAGTGACCTAAAACCACTAAAACTCCCTTCAATCTGGGCCCGAAATTTGTTTTTTAAATATACAATACAAGAGTATTAAAATATAATATTAAAAATCATAAAAAATGTATACAATTTCTTTGATATGAACATTATTATTATAATTATATAGTTACTTATTTTTAAATATTAATATTCATAGCTTTAATAATATATTATAAAAAATTATCTTTGTAAAATATTATATATGAAAAGCTCATTCTTAATGAATCTTTAATAAAAATAATCAAAATTTCAGTCAAAAGATTTTTAAAATATAGAAGCCCACATGCCTAATAAAAATCCTGCGTTAGAATGTGATCAAATTCCTATCATTATAAATTTTGAGTAATAAAAAATAAAAATAATTTAATTATTTAAACTACTAAAGATTAAACTTTATTTAATAAAAATAATATTAAAAACTTATTTTAAAAAAAAAAATCTTTAAAAAGGTAAGCTATAGAGATGTATAGAGAAAAGCACAAATAAATAATCATATCAATAAACTAGTGATCATATCAATAAACTAATATATTACAATAATTTGAAATATGCTAAGAACAAATATGCTATAAGTTCTCAACTATAATGCAAATAATTAAGCAAGTTACAATAAACGTTGTTTATTTAGTTCTTTAACAAAAAGTACCGTACTTTATTTAGAATGCGATCTCTAAACCAATCTGAAATATATTAAAAAAATTTCTTACATAAACAGCGTTTCATGAAAACTAAAATAAATTATTTAAACAAAAACACACAAAAATAAGTTATTTATAAAAATAATTTTATAAATATTTATGGAGTCGAGTAACTAAATACTCTTTACTTTTACAGCATTCAAAAGGGGTTTATTACTTAATCATAAAGAACACTATATTATTACCGGGGATGTACTGAATAAAGACTAACATGGGAACAGAAGATATTATCATTCCCGTTAGGCTCCTTCCCACGCCAAAATTGTCAGCAACATTACTTTTTACAGTTTCCACCCAGTTGCTGCGCACAGTGAATCTAAACGTTATCAAGAACGTTCTTTTGTACACAACTTGTTCACATTGTAAAAACTATAATAACACTGGAATGCAATATATTTCTCAATTCATCAAAATTAAAGTAATTAAACAGATTTTTGAAAAGAAATGTATTTTATTTTTATGAATAACTGAAATATAGGAAATCTCGTGTTTTGCTGTATGCTGTCTTATTTTTATGAATATCTAAAATATAGGAAATCTCTTGTTTTGCTGTATGCTGTCTTTATTACCACATTGTGTTTAGACATAAAAAAACATTTTAAATACAAATTTAAAAAATATATATTTTAAATAAAAGCAAAGAATTTCATATTAATGCTAATTCATATAAAGAAATAACAGAATTGTCAAGAATATACTTAACCCAATATACATTAGCAATATATACCGACAATATTTGGTATTAAGTTGCTTCAAGCTGTAGTAAATAGTTTATAAGAAAGTAAAAGTTAACCCAAAAATAAAAAAATAAAAAAAGTTAAGTAGTGACTATCTTGTTTGAAAATAAAGTTTGAAAAATCAACAAAAATAAACAGCTTTAAAGACACCTTTTTGTAGAATTACAAAGAAATGCGTCATTAAAATAAGTAAACACAAACAAAACGTTAACTTTTAGTGGTTTATTTTATTTTTTGTGCTTTTAGTTTTCAAGCTGAAATGATTTTTTTTTTATAACTTGAAAACGAAACTATCAAAAAAATTTAAACTCAACTTATTTGGCAATATTCAAACCACGTTTAATATAAATTTTATTTACATAAGATCAACTACTCAACCCTCGGAATTAGGGTTGCCATTCGGCAATGCTGACCAAACTGTAGACCTTAAAGTGTTTTGGTTCGGCAAAAATTTTTTGGATAGTTCTTTCTTTAAAAAAGTGGTTTTAATTAACTTGTATTAAAATAGAGAAAAATAATGACCTCAAAATCCTAAAATTGCTAAAATATGCCAAAATAAAACTAACTGTAGCATTTTACTATTCATCCATAAGTCTTTACAGATAAGTTTTCTGATTAGCTACTACTGTCTGTGCAAAATATAGACAGCTTGTGGCAGTTTAGAACTCAAATATATCTAAAAGTAAAATGTCCATTTGCCTAAAAAGTCCATTTTTAGAGCCATTTTTATCAGCCATTTTTAAATGCTTGTAAATTTTTATAACACTTTGTTTTGATCTATGATTAACAGCATATAAGACCATCAGATCCAACTACCTGAAAATGCAAACATCATAAACTTGTCAAATTCACACCAAAAATGCCAGCATTTTTAAATAACCCTATTTTTCAATTATCAATGGTTGAATGTGTTACTAGAAACCAGTCCTGAATGTGTTACTAGAAACCAATCCCCTCTAATCTGCCTACTGGCCTTTATATAAGTCATTATAAGCAACTAATTATAAGTCATTTATTAATAAAAAGAAAGATATGGTTGTGTTGTGTTTTGATTATTTACTTTGTTTATTTTAGAGTAGAAAAACTTATAAGAATTAAAATATTGTTGTTTTTTATACAAGTGTTTCAATTTTCTACTCTTATCAAAATAAAATATGGATAGAGCTCTAAGACCTTCTCGCTTGGATACATTACCAAACTCACCTTCAGCAACAAAATTATTTAAAAATTGGCTCAGAACATTTGAATATTATCTTGATGAACTCCCTCAAGAACTCAATAAGTTAAAAATCCTGACTAATTTCGTCACAACGAAATTTATTATTATGTTTATTAAATGTTTATTAAATAATAAGCAAATGTCCAAATTATGAAGCAGCAATACAAGCTTTACAATCTGTGTACATCAAACCATCAAATGAGGTTTATGCACGACACCTCTTGGCAACTCGTAAGCAACAGCCAGGAGAAAGTTTTGATGAGTATTTACACGCTCTTAAAGTTTTAGCAAAATAATGTAACTTTAAACAGGTGTCTGCTATTGAATATTGCGATGAATATATTAGAGATGCATTTATAACAGGAATAAATTCACAGGTTGTCAGACAGCGACTACTAGAAAACAGTACAATAAGTCTGGATGAAATATTTTCAAAAGCTAGAACCTTGGAATCAGCGCAGAAAAATGCTGAAAATTACCTCCAGTATAATACATCAGATACAACAGTAGCTGCAATAACAAAAAAAGCCAAAGCAATTTAACTCAAATTCTGTTTCAAATTGCTGGAGCTGTGGGAATCAAAGACATGCTAAAGCTGTCTTTCCTGCTAGAGAGTAGATTTGTTTTAAAAGTGACCAAGTTGGTCATTTTGCCAAGTTATGTAAATCTTCTAAACTTACAACAGCAGGGATGAATCTTGTTGATCAACCTTTGAACTCATACAATCCTTCACTCACTTGACTAGACTACCCTGAACATAAAACATTTGGCATGTTGGTTAATGGTTCATTCGTAAATGCTCTCATTGACAGGGGTAGCACTGATAGTTTTATTCACCCTCGATTGGTACAAAAACTAAACCTGACAGTTCATAGACAAAACCAAAAACAGGTATCTATGGCTTCATCATCTTTATCTAGTACAATTTGTGGAGTAGTTTTTGTCAATATTTCAATAAAAAATGAGCATTATAAACTAGTAAAACTTAAGATCTTAAATGAGTTATGCATGAATGTTATTCTGGGTCTCGATTTTCAAAAACAACACAAAGCTGTAACTCTTAAGTTTGAAGGAAAAAGACCCCCACTATTAATTTGTGGTTTGTCGAAGTTGAATGTATCTCCTAATTTATTTGGCAATTTATCGCCTAAATGTAAACCAATAGCTTCAAAATCTCGTCGATATAGCAAAGAAGACCAATTATTCATTGAAATGGAAGTACAACGTATGCTTAAAGAGGACATTATCGAACATACAAATTCTCCCTGGAGAGCTCAGGTAGTTGTAACTAAAGGAGAACGCTCTAAGAAAAGATTAGTTATTGACTACAGTCAAACAATAAATAAGTATACTCAACTAGACGCTTACCCATTACCAAGGATTGATAATCTAGTAAACAAAATTGCTCAATACAAAATATTTAGTACAGTTGATTTAAAATCAGCCTACCATCAAATTCCAATTACCAAAAATGATAGAAAATTTACAGCTTTTGAAGCAAATGGGAGGTTGTTCCAATTTAAGCGAATGCCTTTTGGAATTGAAAATGGCGTTGCTTGTTTTCAACATACCATAAACGAATTTATAGAAAAAGAAGGACTTTTAGATACTTATGCTTATCTAGATAATGTGACAATATGTGGTAAAACCCAAGAGGAGCATGATATTAATTTGGAAAAATTTCTCAAGTCAGCTGAAAATATAAATCTTACTTATAATCCTGATAAATGTAGCTTTTCCCAAGATAAAATTTGCATTCTTGGTTATCTTATAGAAGAAGGAAAGCTCAAACCAGATCCTAGTCGTCTTCAACCTATGAAAGAAATGCCTCCTCCTCATGATGCTAAATCCATGAAGCGTATCATTGGACTATTCTCATACTACTCTAAATGGATTCCATAAGATAGCTTCTCTCACCAAAAACACCAAGTACCCATTAGATCATCACTGTATAAATGATTTCGATCAACTTAAACAAGACATTGCAAATGGTGTAACAGATTATGTGGACGAAAATGTTCCGTTTGAAGTAGAATTGGACGCATCTGACATTGCTATAGCTGCAGTTCTTAATCAAAATGGCTGCCCTATAGCTTTCTTTTCAAGATTACATCAAAAATCTGAACTCAAACATCCCTCTATTGAGAAAAAAGCTTGCGCAATAATAGAAGCAGTCAGGCATTGGAAACACTACCTTACTGGACGCCATTTTAAACTTAATACTGATCAGCAACCTGTGTCCTATATCTTCGAAAAGCAACATAAATCAAAGATTAAAAATGATAAAATTTATCGATGGAAAATTGAACTATCGTGCTATAATTATGACATTGTTTACAAGGAAGGGAAACTAAATAGCTAACACATTTTCTAGAATACATTGCTCAGCAATAAACACTAACAACTTAATTCAGCTTCATCAATCACTCTGTCATCCTGGAGTAACTAGGTTTTATGCTTTTATTAAAAACCGTAATTTACCTTTCTCAATTGATGATGTTAAACGAATAACTAATCAGTGCAAACTATGTTGTGAATGTAAGCCTAGATACTACAAACCACTAAAATCTAATTTGATAAAAGCAACACAACGACTGAAACGTTTGAACTTAGATTTTAAAGGACCTTTTTCTTCGGAAACTAATAACAGGTATTTTTTAACCATAATTGATGAGTATTCTCGTTTTCCTTTTGCAATCCTGTGCCCTGATATTTCAGCTCAGACTGTAATTAAGTGTTTGTCACAAGTATTCTCGGTTTTTCGTTTGCCAAGTTACATCCATTCCGATAGAGGTTCAGCCTTCATCAGTAAAGAATTAAAACAATACTTACTAGAGAAAGGTATTGCAACAAGTCATACTACAGCATATAATCCACAAGGGAATGGACAAGCCGAAAAGTATAATGGAACCATAATGAAATCTATTGAGATTGCTACTAGACAACACAATTTACCCATCAAAGCTTGGGAAAAAGTATTGCCAGACGTTCTCCATTCTATAAGATCCTTAGTAAATACTAAAACAATGGAGACACCTCATGAAAGAATGTTTAAGCACCTTTGTAAAACAGCCTCTGGATGCACTTTACCTTCATGGTTAAGTCATCCTGGACCAATACTAATGAAAAGACATTTACGTAATAATAAGTATGAACCACTGGTAGATGAAGTGCAACTCATAGATGCTAATCCTCAATATGCTCACATAAAGTATCCAGATGGAAGAGAAACCACAGTTTCCCTAAGACACTTAGCTCCAACAAGTTCTGCTTCAATCATTGATCAAAAAAATCATATTGAACCTTCACCAGAGAATGCTTTTAATAATGTTGAACCTTCACCAGAGAATGCTTTTAATA